GGTAGTTATAGACAGGTGATAGTTATTGATAGATGGTAGTTATAGACAGGTGATAGTTATTGATAGATGGTAGTTATAGACAGGTGATAGTTATTGATAGATGGTAGTTATAGACAGGTGATAGTTATTGATAGATGGAAGTTATAGACAGGTGGTAGTTGTTAATAGGTAGTAGTGTTACAGACACATGGTTGTTACAGACAGATGGTAGTGACACAAAAGTGGTAGTTTAAGACAGGTGGTTGTTACAGAGGTGGTAATTATATACAGGTGGAAGTAATAGACAGGTGGTAGTTGTTAATAAGTGGTAGTTACAAGAAGGTGGTAGTTACAGAGAGGTGGTAGTTATTAATAGGTAGTTACAGACAGGTGGTAGTTATAGACAGTTGGAAGTTATTGACAGGTGGTAGTTATAGACAGTTGGAAGTTATTGACAGGTGGTAGTTACAGAGAGGTGCTGATTATAGACAGGTGGTAGTTATAGACAGGTGATACTTATTGACAGGTGGTAGTAACAAACAGGTGGTAGTTATAGACAGGTGGTAGTTATAGACAGATGATAGTTACAGATTGGGGCAGTTATAGACAAGTGGTAGTTACAGATTTGGCAGTTATAGACAGGTGATAGTTACAGATTGAGCAGTTATAGACAGGTGGTAGTTACAGATTGGGGTAGTTATAGACAGGTGATAGTTACAGATGGGGGCAGTTATAGACATGTGATAGTTACAGATTGGGGCAGTTATAGACAGGTGGTAGTTACAGATGGGGGCAGTTATAGACAGGTGATAGTTACAGATTGAGCAGTTATAGACAGGTGGTAGTTACAGATGGTGGTAGTTATAGACAGGTGGAAGTTACAGATGGGGGCAGTCATAGACAGATGATAGTAACAGATGAGGGCAGTTATAGACAGGTGGTAGTTACAGATTTGGCAGTTATAGACAGATGATAGTTACAGATTAGGGCAGTTATAGACAGGTGGTAGTTACAGAGTTGGCAGTTATAGACAGGTGATAGTTACAGATTGGGGCAGGTATAGACGAGGGGAAGTTACAGATGGGGGCAGTTATAGACAAGAGGAAGTTACAGATGGGGGCAGTTATAGACAAGTGATATTTACAGATGTGGGCAGTTATAGACAGGTGATAGTTACAGATGGGGGCAATTATAGACGAGGGGAAGTTACAGATGGGGGCTGTTATAGACAGGTGGAAGTAACAGATGGGGGCAGTCATAGACAGATGATAGTTACAGATTGGGGCAGTTATAGACAGATGATAGTAACAGATAGATTGTTGTTATAGAAATGTGGTAGTTACAAAAGTTGGCAGTTATAGACAAGTGTAATTACAGATGGGGGCAGTTATAGACAAGTGATATTTACAGATGTGGGCAGTTATAGACAGGTGATAGTTACAGATTGGGGCAGGTATAGACGAGGGGAAGTTACAGATGGGGGCTGTTATAGACAGGCGGAAGGAACAGATGGGGGCAGTAATAGACAGATGATAGTTACAGATGGGGGCAGTTTTAGACAAGGGGTGGTTACCGATTGGGGCAGTTATAGACAGGTGGTAGGTACAGATGGGTGCAGTTATAGACAGATGATAGTTACAGATTGGGGCAGTTATAGACAAGTGGTAGTTACAGATGGGGGCAGTTTTAGACAAGGGGTGGCTGCAGGTTGGGGAAGTTATAGACAGGTGGTAGTTACAGATGGTGGTAGTTATAGACAGGGGGGAGTTACAGATGGGGGCAGTCATAGACAGATGATAGTTACAGATGAGGGCAGTTATAGACAAGGGGGCAGTTACAGATGGGGCAGTTATAGACAGGTGGTAGTTACAGAGTTGGCAGTTATAGACAGGTGATAGTTACAGATTGGGGCAGGTATAGACGAGGGGAAGTTACAGATGGGGGCTGTTATAGACAGGCGGAAGGAACAGATGGGGGCAGTAATAGACAGATGATAGTTACAGATGGGGGCAGTTTTAGACAAGGGGTGGCTGCAGGTTGGGGAAGTTATAGACAGGTGGTAGTTACAGATGGGTGCCGTTATAGACAGATGATAGTTACAGATTAGGGCAGTTATAGACAGGTGGTAGTTACAGATGGTGGTAGTTATAGACAGGTGGAAGTTACAGATGGGGGCAGTTATAGAAAAGTGGTAGTTACAGATTTGGCAGTTATAGACAGATGGTAGTTACAGATGGGGGCAGTTATAGACAGGGGATAGTTACAGATTGAGCAGTTATAGACAGGTGGTATTTACAGATGGTGGTAGTTATAGACAGGTGATAGTTACAGATTGGGGCAGTTATAGACAAGTGGTAGTTACAGATGGGGGCAGTTTTAGACAAGGGGTGGTTACCGATTGGGGCAGTTATAGACAGGTGGTAGGTACAGATGGGTGCAGTTATAGACAGATGATAGTTACAGATTAGGGCAGTTATAGACAGGGGGTAGTTACAGATTTGGCAGTTATAGACAGGTGATAGTTACAGATTGGGGAAGTTATAGACAGGTGATAGTTACAGATTGAGCAGTTATAGACAGGTGGTAGTTACAGATAGATTGTTTTTATAGAAATGTGATAGTTACAGATGGGGGCAGTTAAAGACAAGTGATATTTACAGATTGGGGCAGTTATAGACAGGTTCTAGTTACAGATTGGGGCAGTTATAGACAGGTGGTAGTTACAGATGGGTGCAGTTATAGACAGATGATAGTTACAGATTAGGGCAGTTATAGACAAGGGGTAGTTGGGACTTGTAGTGGTTATGGAGAGGTAGCAGTTACTGGGAGGAGATAGATTGGACTTGTGGTATGTATACAGGTGGTTGTTATAGACAGACAGGTGGTAGTTATCGGCATATGATCGTTTTTCAGCAGGTAGTAGTTATTAGCAGGTTGGAGACTGGGCTTAACAAACAGGTGGTTGTTATAGACAGTTGTAGCTATTATGCATGATCTTTAAAATGTTATGACTCTCAATATCAAAAGCAATAGAAATATAATGGAGTTGTATCATTACTTTTATTTCAATGCAGTAGAAAGTTATTATAAAATCGAAAATAAGATAATATTGATATTTGATTCAGCAATAAAATGTTAATAATTGATAACTGGTCTAAACAAAGAAAAGATGACACAAATATTTCATCATAAATAGACTATGAGACACCATACACTTTACAATAGGTGGATACTAAACTTGTAAAACATACCTTGTTTGATTTCAAAGCATTTGTTGGTATTCAGGGATGGCTTCAAAACAAAAAAATACTCTAATAAAATTTATATACTAACAAATTTATCATATCAAAGCTTAGAGTTTCACATAGAAATATCATAAATCAAAGGAATGCAGTTGTTCCTTTCAATTTAAAGTATGTTAAGGTTTGTTAAGTTAAATTATTTCATAGAAAATAATGTGCACCTACCCAAAGTCTCTTAGCCGCATCAAGAAGGGACTGGCTGAAAGAAATGATGCCCCTGTAACAAAAGATTTCAATGCATTTAATTTTCAAATTAATTTTCTTCAAATAATTCTTAACTTCTATTAAAAAGAAGTATCTCTTGAAACAACAGTGGCAGAGTGCTTTATGTATGCTTCTGTGTATAAACGAAAGAGTAATGTCCCTTTGTTTATGCTACTGCATTATGTAGCATTATATTTCTACAGCTGGCAATGACATCCGGGTAAACAACTTTTGTACTTTTTCTATGATTTTATTCATAAGATTTGTTTTTTGTTTATTATATTAAAAATTTCAATAATAAAATTATTTATATAATTGATAGGAAAAAACATAATGAAATATATACATACTTTGCAAGAAAAACAACCTCAGTCATAACTTTCAGCTTCTCAGCATCTGTAGCATATATATTGACATCTGTGCCTCCAAATATCAGAATGAATGGTAGATTGGAACCTATAAGGTTTAAATTTAAAAAATAATGAGATGATCTTGAGCAGATTTCTTTAAACTAAACAGAAAACATACAAATAAATTTGTACTTAGACTCCCCAAAATAATATACAATTTTTTCCTTGACACAGTGGTGAACCAACAAGTCACTTATTACTGACACAGCAAGAGGGAATGTCACAGTGGTGAACCAACTAGTCACTTATAACTGACACAGCAAGAGGGAATGGCACAGTGGTGAACCATCTAGTCACTTGTTACTGACACAGCAAGAGGGAATGGCACAGTGGTGAACCAACTAGTCACTTATTACTGACACAGCAAGAGGGAATGTCACAGTGGTGAACCAACTAGTCACTTATTACTGACACAGCAAGAGGGAATGTCACAGTGGTGAACCAACTAGTCACTTATTACTGACACAGCAAGAGGGAATGTCACAGTGGTGAACCAACTAGTCACTTATTACTGACACAGCAAGAGGGAATGTCACAGTGGTGAACCAACTAGTCACTTATTACTGACACAGCAAGAGGGAATGTCACAGTGGTGAACCAACTAGTCACTTATTACTGACACAGCAAGAGGGAATGTCACAGTGGTGAACCAACTAGTCACTTATTACTGACACAGCAAGAGGGAATGTCACAGTGGTGAACCAACTAGTCACTTATTACTGACACAGCAAGAGGGAATGGCACAGTGGTGAACCAACTAGTCACTTATTACTGACACAGCAAGAGGGAATGTCACATTGGTGAACCAACTAGTCACTTATTACTGACACAGCAAGAGGGAATTTTCACAGTGGTGAATCATCTAGTCACTTATTACTGACACAGCAAGAGGGAATGTCACAGTGGTGAACCATCTAGTCACTTATTACTGACTCAACTAGAAGGAAGGTCACAGTTTGAACAATATACTGGTAGTTACTTGTTACTGGTTGAGCTAGAGAGAATCTTCCTTTTAACTCGTTTGACACAGCACTGAGCTAGTTATCTGCAGTCCCAGGTTTGACTCTTAGTGCAGACACCTTGGAAAATTGTCCGCATTTACATTGTGGACCACAGGGGACATGTGGTTATATACGTGTACAATAATCACCTTAACCCTGCTCAGATATGTTTTATATGTATTGAAGATAATGTCTTTGGAGAGTAACAGTGGTGAACCTTTGAGTTGTTATTACTTTCACAGCTAGAGGTTATCTCCCTTTAGCTTAATTGACACAGCATGATAGTCCTGAATGCAGTTTAATTAAGTGGAACTATAGAACAACATTGCACCCTTAGACATAACATTAAAATACTTAGAATTGACATAACAATACCTACACATGGCATAACAATACCTACACATGGCATTACAATACCTACACATGGCATAACAATACCTACACAAGGCATAACAATACCTACACATGGCATAACAATACCTAAACATGGCATAACAATACGTGGACATGACATTACAATACCTAGACATGATATTACAATACTTAGGCATGACATTACAATACCAGTAGATGACATTACAGTACACTACCTAGACGTGACACTACAATACCAGTAGATGACATTACAGTACACTCCCTAGACGTGACATTACAATTCCAGTAGATGACATTACAGTACACTACCTAATTGTGACATTACAATACCAGTAGATGACATTACATTACACTACCTAGACGTGACATTACAATTCCAGTAGATGACATTACAGTACACTACCCCGACGTGACATTACAATACCAGTAGATGACATTACAGTACATTACCCCGACGTGACATTACAATATCAGTAGATGACATTACAGTACACTACCTAGATGTGACACTATATTACAAGTGGATGACATTACAGTACACTACCTAGACGTGACATTACAGTTCACTACCTAGACGTGACATTACAATACCAGTAAATGACATTACCGTACACTACCTAGACGTGACGTTACAATACCAGTAGATGAAATTACAGTACACTACCCAGAAGTGACATTACAATACCAGTGATGAAATTACAGTACACTCCCTAGACCTGACATTACAATACAAGTATTACAATACCAGTAGATGACATGACAGTACACTACCTAGATGTGACATTTTACAGTACACTACCTAGAAGTGACATTACAATACCAGTGATGAAATTACAGTACACTCCCTAGACGAGACATTACAATACACTACCTAGACGTGACGTTACAATACCAGTAGATGAAATTACAGTACACTCCCTAGACATGACATTACAATACCAGTGGATGACTTTACAGTACACTACCTAGATGTGACATTTTACAGTACACTACCTAGAAGTGACATTACAATACCAGTGGATGACTTTACAGTACACTACCTAGATGTGACATTACAATACTTACAATACCAGTCGATGACATCACAGTACACTACCTAGACGTGACGTTACAATACCAGTAGATGACATTACATTACACTACCTAGACGTGACGTTACAATACCAGTAGATGACATTACATTACACTACCTAGATGTGACATTACAATACAAGTATTACAATACCAGTAGATGACATTACATTACACTACCTAGACGGAACATTACAATACCAGTATATGACATTACAGTACACCACCTAGACGTGACATTACATTTCACTACCTAGACGTGACATTAGTAGATGACATTACAGTACAATACCTACATGTGTCATTACAATACCAGTAGATGAAATTACAGTACACTCCCTAGACCTGACATTACAATACAAGTATTACAATACCAGTAGATGTCATTACAGTACACTACCTAGTCGTGACATTACAATACCAGGAGATGACATAACAGTACACTTCCCAGACATGACATTACAGTACCCTACCCAGACGTGACAGTACAGTACTCTACCCAGACGTGACATTACAATACACTACCTAGACGTGACGTTACAATACCAGTAGATGACATTACATTACACTACCTAGATGTGACATTACAATACCAGTGGATGAAATTACAGTACACTCCCTAGACCTGACATTACAATACAAGTATTACAATACCAGTAGATGACATTACATTACACTACCTAGACGTGACGTTACAATACCAGTAGATGACATAACAGTCCTAGACATGACATTACAATACCAACAATACCAGTAAATGACATGACAGTACACTACCTAGACGGGACATTACAATAACAGTAGATGACATTACAGTACAATACCTACATGTGTCATTACAATACCAGTAGATTAGACGTGACATTACAATACCAATACATGACATTACAGTACACTAACTAGACGTGACATTACAATGCCAGTAGATGACATTACAGTACAATACCTACATGTGTCATTACAATACCAGTAGATGACATTCCAGTACACTACCTAGACGTGAAATTACAGTACACTACCTAATTGTGACATTACAATACCAGTGATGAAATTACAGTACACTACCTAGTAGACGTGACATTACAATAACAGCACATGACATTACAGTACACTCCCTAGACATGACATTACAATACCAGTGGATGACATTACAATACACTACCTAGACGTGACGTTACAATACCAGTAGATGACATTCCAGTACACTACCTAGACGTTACATTACAATACCAGTAAATGACATAACAGTACACTACCTAGACATGACATTACAATACCAGGAGATGACATAACAGTACACTTCCCAGACACGTGACAGTACAATACCAGAAGATGACATTACAGTACACGACTTAGACGTGACATTACAATACCAGGAGATGACATAACAGTACACTTCCCAGACATGACATTACAGTACCCTACCCAGACGTGACAGTACAGTACTCTACCCAGACGTGACATTACAATACACTACCTAGACGTGACGTTACAATACCAGTAGATGACATTCCAGTACACTACCTAGACGTGCCATTACAATACCAGTAGATGACATAACAGTCCTAGACATGACATTACAATACCAGTGGATGACTTTACAGTACACTACCTAGATGTGACATTACAATACAAGTATTACAATACCAGTAGATGACATTCCAGTACACTACCTAGACGTGCCATTACAATACCAGTAGATGACATTCCAGTACACTACCTAGACGTTACATTACAATAGCAGTAGATGACATTACAGTACAATACCCAGACGTGACATTACAATACACTACCTAGACGTGACGTTACAATACCAGTAGATGACATTACATTACACTACCTAGATGTGACATTTTACAGTACACTACCTAGACATGACATTACAATACCAGTAGATGACATTACAGTACACTACTTAGACGTGACATTACAATAACAGTAGATGACATTACAGTACACTACCTAGACGTGACATTACAATACCAGTAGATGACATTACAGTACACTACCTAGACGTGACATTACAATACCAGTAGATGACATTACATAACACTACCTAGACGGAACATTACAATACCAGTAGATGACATTACAGTACACTAACTAGACGTGACATTACAATACACTACCTAGACGTGACATTACAATACCAGTAGATGACATTACAGTACACTACCTAGACGTGACATTACAATACCAGTAGATGAAATTACAGTACACTACCCAGACTTGACATTACAAAACCAGTAGATGACATTACAGTACACAACATAGACGTGTCATTACAATACCAGTAGATGACATTACAGTACACTACCCAGACGTGACATTACAATACCAGTAGATGAAATTACAGTACACTACCCTGACTTGACATTACAAAACCAGTAGATGACATTACAGTACACAACATGGACGTGTCATTACAATACCAGTAGATGACATTACAGGACAATACCTACATGTGTCATTACAATACCAGTAGATGACATTACATTACACTACCTAGATGTGACATTACAGTACACTACCTAGACATGACATTACAATACCAGTAGATGACATAACAGTACACTTCCCAGACATGACATTACAGTACACTACCCAGACGTGACATTACAGTACACTACCTAGACGTGACATTACAATACCAGTAGATGACATTACATTACACTACCTATATGTGACATTACAGTACACTACCTAGACATGACATTACCATACCAGTAGATGACATAACAGTACACTTCCCAGACATGACATAACAGTACACTTCCCAGACATGACATTACAGTACACTACCCAGACGTGACATTACAGTACACTACCTAGACGTGACATTACAGTACACTACCTAGATGTGACATTACAATACAAGTAGATGACATTACAGTACACTACCTAGACGTGACATTACAGTACACTATACCTAGACGTGACATTACAATACCAGTAGATGACATAACAGTACACTACCTAGACGTGACATTACAATACAAGTAGATGACATTACAGTACACTATACCTAGACGTGACATTACAATACACTATACCTAGACGTGACATTACAGTACACTATACCTAGACGTGACATTACAGTACCAGTAGATGACATTACTGTACACTACCTAGACATGACATTACAATACCAGTAGATGACATTACAGTACACTACCTAGAAGCTGACGTCCAGCCTTGTATGCATGTAGAAGACGTGACATTACAATACCAGTAGATGAAATAACAGTACACTTCCCAGACATGACATTACAGTACACTACCCAGATGTGACATTACAGTACACTACCTAGATGTGACATTACAATACAAGTAGATGACATCACAGTACACTATACCTAGACGTGACATTACAATACCAGTTGATGACATTACAGTACACTACCTAGACATGACATTACAATACCAGTAGATGACATTACAGTACACTACCTAGAAGGTGACGTCCAGCCTTGTATGCATGTAGAGCTAAAACCATTTGAATGCTGTGTTGGCTTGCTATGTCCTGTAACTCCTTTGGGTCAGTGATAGTGTCCGGATCCCACAGGACACAGGAGTGACCAGCACTTTCTAGGTGGGAGCTGTTGTAACGATATTTTTATAGAAAAAAAATACCTATAAAACGTATCCTTTTCCAAAAAAACAAACAAAAGATACAAAAACATGCAACAAATTTTGAATGAATCAATGAATCTCTGCAAATTCATTTAAGCATTGACCTGTTCGTCGCCAGTAAGAATGCTACCTTTGTCTTTTCACTAATTAGCAAAGGGTGAGGGGATGAGGTGAGGGGGTGAGGTGAGGGGGAGGGGGTGGATAGGCGAGGAGGGATGTAATTATTATACACAATAATTGAACTATGAAAAATAATGTGTACAACATTCTGACAATTTTTCAAAAATAATGTCATCATACATCAATGGCTAACTACTGACCTTTGCCATGTGTCTCATATGTAAGTCAAAAGACTTTCTGTGCGTGGCTACCTTTTCCTTTGATTCCAATTCTGATAATTTTTTTAAAGTTTAGATAATTATAATGAAATAAATATCTGAAGTATTGATTATCATGTAGAATTTTCATGTGAATGATTCTAAAATATTGTGTGGATTTCCCCACACTGTATAAAAGGAGGAAAGTTCTGTCAATAATAGCTGGTGATAAATACCTTATCCTCTGTATAGTACTGTAGTTTCCACACCCCCTGGTAAGGGGAGATAACAACAGGAAAGTTGACCCCATCACAACAGTCAGTAGCCATACTTCACATCATGCACGGACTGGAAGGAAAACGTTGGAGTTCATGTATCTTGTCTGTGTACAGGACCACGTTATACAATGTATTTAACACGACAATAAGATTACAAATCAGTAAATACATGTTATTTGAACTGAGGAGGCTCGAACCGTGGATGGTCACTACTGTAGAATCATTTATTTTCGTGGGGTTACAATTTCGTGGTTTTCATAAACAAGCCTGTTTCAAGGACATTATATTTCGTTGATTTCTGATTTTCCCCTATCTATATCATACCAAATTCATGTTTTTGTGGGGATTTAATTTTGTGGATTTTTGTTATCCACAAAATAAACAAAATTTAATGTCCCACGGAAATTTATGATTTTACAGTATACCACATCTGTGCCATATTTTGTTACCTACAAAATGACCAATTTAATTTCGCTATTCTCTTCCCATGTCCCCTAACTTAAGACAATTTACTTAACAAAGTTGTTAACAAAACCTGTTAAAATCAGAATTCACTCATGCCAAGAACAATAACTCATTCACCCCTGAAATTTCATAATGAACTATTCCAACCTTTGAATTGGAAGACTTCAAATGTGTCTTCAGGGGTAAATGAGTTAATAGAATTTCCTTGGTATTTTGGGAATAATAACAATTTACAGTGCTGTATCAAAACATCAATTTTTCTACAATAACTTTTTCTCTATTTGTTTTAAATATCATTTTTTGAAGCCTTTGTGCTGTTATAAAGCAGGTAAAAAAATAATTCTACAAATTATATCCAATGGTATGTTCTCTTTGAAGCAAACTTTAAATATTTTATGGCCTCTGGCAATTTTATTCTTCATTTCATGTTTTGGATTTTTCTAATCAAATTGAAAAGCTGATTTGACATGATTATAATAAGTAATATATTGGCTGATTTTTTTTACCATTTACAAGGCTTTTCAATTGGTAAGTGCATGTGGCTAGAGTTTGGAGGTTCTCAGTGTGAATCCTTATCAGGCCTGCTGCATTTTTCCATTCGCTGATTCAAGTATGTGCACAGGTGAGGGGATATTTACTACAACCTGGGCTGTAAATAGTGCTGTCTTTATCAAAGTAAAGACTTAAAACAAGGTGGAAGGTGTGTAGTGGGATATGGCAGAGTGACTGACAGTAACATTAGCATACTTGCCAACTGGGTGGGATTACGCATGCTCAGAATTAAAAACATAAGTAAAAATGTGTGCATCTACCCCCTAGGGAAAAATAACACTTTTAAATTTAATCAGCATATTTTGAGCTGTTCTCTCAGATGAAATCATCAGATCTTAGAAAATAGCCAAAGTTTACCAATTCACTTAGGTTGAAAACGTTCCATTTTACTCACTCACTCCGGCCGGGGGTCCAAAATTGGGAGACTCCCTCCAAAATAGGGAAAGTTGGCAAGTATGCATTAGGAAGCTAATTGGTTTAAGCAGGGAATTCCGAGGTTTAAGCACACCTGTAATTACAGCCTTGAGTTCGGAAGTCCCAAGTTCAAATATAGATATAGCTGGTCTGGCCTCATTGCTTTTTTTCTTTTAGCGATAGATATACAATGTATACTGTACTATAGGTATACAATGTATACTGTGCTAAAGATATACAATGTATACTGTGCTATAGGTATACAATGTATACTGTACTATAGGTATACATTGTATATTGTACTATAGATATACAATGTATACTGTACTATAGGTATACAATGTATATTGTACTATAGATATACAATGCATACTGTGCTATAGATATACAATGTATACTGTGCTATAGGTATACATTGTATACTGTACTATAGATATATAATGTATACTGTGCTATAGATATACAATGTATACTGTGCTGTAGATATACAATGTATACTGTACTATAGATATACAATGTATACTGTGCTATAGGTATACAATGTATACTGTGCTATAGATATACAATGTATACTGTCCTATAGATATACAATGTATACTGTGCTATAGATATACAATGTATACTGTACTATAGATATACAATGTATACTGTATTGATTACAAGATCCTGTTTAGAAGTTCTATACAAAGATTTTTTTTATTCATGCTCAAAGCTTGCTTTTCCATCCTTCTATAATAATTACTTAAACATGAATGAACGTTACAGCTTAGTCTTCTAAAACTTGACAATAATTCACAGATGTCAAATATCTGATTTACTGGGTCAGGAGCTGGTTTATTTAATTTGGAAAAAGGAATGGAGCATTTTTAACCATTGACTTATTGGTAAACTATTCCTATTTTCTAAGATCTGATGATTTCATCTGAAAGAACAGCTCAAATGATGCCAATTAAAAGTCAATATGGACAGTTGTTGCACTCACTCTACTAGATTATAGATGAATGGTCCAACTCACTTATTCAGAATAAATATATTGTTTAAACAAAATATGGTTTCCCTGGCGATACTGGGAATCAAACTCGGGCGTACCATCAAAGCAGGGTTCACATACAGGAATTATTTCGACCTAAAATTTTGTGAAATAGTCAATATTACTTACAAATAGATCTGGCTATGCAAACACTTGAAACCGGCACTTTTAAAAACTGTTCAATATCAATAGGTGCAAAAATGCTCTGGTTTAAAATCCCGGTCAAGTTTTGATAGCATTGTTTGTGCTCCTATCCTCAATATTGTCATACTTTAGTCGCTATCTATCTGTTGACCTAGATATTGAACTTGACCTATATATATATATATATATATATATATCAGTTTATATCAGCAAACATTAATACGAGCAAGTTAGTATCGCTGAGGGTTGATATAAAACTGCTATGTATGTAGGAAACAACTTACCTCAACATACACATCGATGCTATGGTCCCGTTAGCTGAGGTTGAACCTATACATGTTACAAAGTGAAACTAGAAGGAGAAAACTTAAGGGAGATAACTCTACAATAAAAAATGTGAGGTGTAAGTCTATAGTGTTTTGATCACTTTTTATATTGCTTACATATTCTGAATAACGGATACATTAAACGCTATAAATAATGTGCATTCTTGCCGGAAATAGGGACTTATAACGTTCTTAGGCAAACAATACACAAAAGGAAGTTGAATTTGCGGGGTTTTTTTTCTTCTTTCTTTTAAAACTGTAACGTATACCAGGGATGTGTCCACTACACACCCTGCGTATACGCACAATTTGAGAAGAGTTATCGCCATTAGTACGTACTTACTGCTTTTCATATTTACGTTTCGTAATTAACGGATGCAAAATTCATCAAAATATTATATCCTTGGTATTTCATAGAAATAAAATGCTTTGATACGCAAGTCTAAAAAAAACGACAAATTAAACAAAAGTAAATTTAAAAGTCGGGTCTGCTTCATATTTACAGTTGTATGTAATTCTAATTATCTCGAAAGATTGTCAGGACAATTTCATAGGTTAACATAAAACCATCACATGTCTATATATGTAGCATCTACATGATATCGACGTCATCTAGTCCAAGTTTTTTGTTTGTTTAATTAGTGTGTTTGTTTTTCAAAATACATGAAAAGAGAAAAAATGTTTAAACAATCATATATATAGTTGCTAAGCCCTTCACTTTCACATGTATCGACAATGTGCTATCTATGTGGTTTTTTTGGTATTATTACCAACGTCGGTCGTATACCATCTTCGTTAGCTAAGGGTTACGATCCGGTACGATCTACATGTACCTACTCATCCTCACTTACCAGTTTTTGAAGGAACCTGTTTCTGTATCTGAAATCGAAAATATATATATAAAAAAAAGTTGAAAACAAATAAGGCAGGAGGTCTAGACAATCTTGTTTATGAACATTTAAAATAATACCAAGGTAAAAACAGCTTTTAATATTTTTCATGTTCTCCGTCTCTCCTCGATTCCTAGATAATTCTTCTTAATTAACTTATTTAAATCTTTTTTTTTTATTTTACTGGCCCAGATATCTCTCTCTCTCTCTCTCCTATTTTGCTTTCTTTCTCCCCTCTCCCTTTTATATTTTTTTGCTTCTTCTCTAGACCCTGTGATTCTATTTTGTCTATGGTGTGTGTGTGTGTGTGTGTGTGTGTAAGATTGAGTGTATGTTCTAGTATATAAATGATATACATGTACTATGTGAAGTATGTTGTTTTAGACAGAGCATGGGTGTGATAGATTATCTATCATGATG